GAATAATATAATGTTAGTAATGCAAGTACAACTATCTAACATGTAATTATTATACTCAATATCATTTTTAATATCGAAGTAATTTGCTAAAATAACTATCTTATATAAATTATTTAGATAAATAACTTATATATTCCCTGAAAGTGTATAACAAAGAAAAATGAATTGAATTAGCAAAAGTAGTTTTGAGAAGATTGCACAAATAATCAATATAAAAACTTTTAAAAAAATTATCGAGAGAAAACGTCTGACATGGTGATAATTTCTCCTATTCAATCTGATATACGTATGTAGTAACAAATTGTTTACATTATATTAGTATACATATAAAATTATTTCATGGAAAATAACATATCCATGTGGGGTTTATTTTTCTATGTAAATCAATAAACAGTGAAAATATTTCTGATGACCTGTAAGTTTACTGAGTTTACATGTAATTACAACGAAACAACAGAAGCATAATTAAGTAAACATCAGTGTTCGGTTTATTAAAACAAACAAAAAGTGAATAATTAAACAAGAGAATTTATTAAACTATTTAAATGATTAATTGTAGTTATTGGTATTTTTGAACTATCACTTTCAGTCGTAAAACAACGATAAAGAATTTTTTGATATGGGGTATTTCTTAACTGTTAGGAAAACATTTCAGGTCAACGTTTAAAATAATTAACATATTTATATCTATAGAAAAAAAAATTTGTTATATTGAATGAGAACGGTCTTTTCTTACATAACTTATGACATGAATTAAAAATGATCCTTTATTTAGGGGAATGAAAAGTATTATACTAAGATTGTGGTAATTTAATGCTTAAAATCATTGAAACATCGATATACTATTGAAAAAAATATCATAGATTGATGAAGTCTATTTAATGGTGAAATGGTAATTTAAAATAATATTCTTATGATATTTGTTTGTCTATAATAAAATAAAAAAATTATGTTAGTTATATACTATAAATTTATTATTATTCTTTTGTTAACCATGAAATGAAATATGTAAATTAATAAATCATCAAATCACTTAAGTAACTGTATGTATGTCAGTTCATTAACTTTATATTTAGTTTGTTTCGCCACAATATATATATATAACTGGGAACAATAGACGTTGGGACTCTGTCTTGAGTTCAATTAGTATGATAGTTAATTTAACCCTATTACTAAATTTGATATGGATTTCACACTCATTCAAGTCCCAACCTCTTAATTTCCCTTCAGTCGTAGGTTTTCCACTTTTTTAGAGTTTATATGTTATTTATCATCTGTCCATGGATAATAATAAAATTTATACTCAATAAAAACTATGATTGAATAGATACAATTTAAATTGCATAATGATAAAATAACATTCAAAGTTATCTGTTGTTTCATACATTAATAAAATCTAAACCATATTTAAAAACCGTTTGTTTGCCTAGATAACTTACTACTTGATAGATGACTGACCATTTTTACAGAAAATTTCAATTATAAGATCCAAACTAATGTAATTGTTCATTTGCGTGATTTAGGTCGACTGTGCCTATCTTAAGACAGTTTATGTCAGAGACTGACGTCAGCTAGAGAACCACATTAAACCAAAGAGTGGTGAACTGTTTAAGTTTAATACACTCAGCAGCGTGACAATTACCAAGTGATAATACTTGATTAAAGGTATATTGTAAAATGACTTGAAAATGTGGGCTAAATGTGTTATGTCCTATACAAGATCTGGTGGTCATAGGCTTAACTCTATGTGAGATCGTGTATTAGCACTGTTGAGGAGTCCTATATGGGAACGGGACAAGCATTGATTGCCTTCCGCTTAGTAATTATTACCCATTGAGTGTCAATCTGTAACTAGAACTATCTTCGAATGAATGTTTCCTTTATGCAAAAGACCAAGATTTCATTAATACAAAGTGCAATATTATCACTACGATTACTCTTTATTACTCCACATGTTATGCAAAACAATATTTTTTCAACTCGGAAGTTTAAAGGTAAATTTTATTCATAAAATAAAGGATAACGTTTAACGATGTTACTCAGTTTACCTATCATTCTATAACACTTGAACCTCTGAGTTTGATTATATTGTATTTCTAATGCTTTAGATTACTAAATGTAATGGATGGAAAGCTGGTTGCACTTAATGCTTAGTTACATATACTTTACTTGATATTCTTTCTGACCTTGACCAATACTACATAGAGTTGTGCACGTCACTTGCATTCATAAAACAATAAACAGGATAGGTAGTACAATATCAAATGCCATGATTTAATACTTATTTACACTCACGATTGGAAAGTGGTTACAGTTTTCTATCCAGTGGTCAATTAGCATAAAAGTCAGTGTGTCTAAACAAAACTAAAATGTATGAATAATGTTTAAAGAGGTGGAAAATAAATTCAGTTTTCCGGAAATGCATTAGTCCACACAATATATCGACCTTATTCAATTTATTGTGATCAATAACTGGTGATGAAGAATTTAAATGGTTCAGTTAATCAACTGGATAATTATTTGACAGTAATTATCTGTGACCTTAGTGAAAATCAGAAAAAACACCAATAAAATTGTCAAAACTTTTGACATTTAGACATTTAGACGACAAAAATTATGATAGTTATAATCATTTAACTGTATTAATAATAGATATTTATTTTAAAGGATCATGAAAAACAAAATCTTCTGTGAAACTAAATATCTTTTGAACTAGCGAATTACTTTACAAATCAGTAGTTTTAGCTATACTGTGTTTCAATGCTCTAAATGTTATATCATGTTGAACGTTCTCTTACTTCATAAATATATATATTCCATCACTTTGTCATTTAGTTCAGCCTGAAATAATACTTAACATGAGAGAAAATGGGAAAATTTGACAATAAATTCATTTCACATCTTAGCCATTCAAATGTAAATGAAAACTTTTAGGCAAAAGTGTACATAAGGAGCCAAAATTCCGAACTACTTACCAAAATTCACTAAAATAACAGACCATTAAGGTCACACGCAAGAATAAGGCCCTTTGAGTACAGTCTACCTAACTAGAGCCATAGGACAAGTTAAAATGATGAGAACACAAAGACGAAACCATCCTCGGTATTTTTCCTTGGTTTACTAAAACGGCATTGCCTTGGCTAAAAATGTAACTCGCAAAATGGCGGTATCGAAAGTCATTTAGCTGGATTTATTGGTTAGGCGGATGGGAATTTTACCCACTATATCACCTTGAAAAGAAAGTTTAAGATACAGAGTTTCTCTTTCGACTGCTAGTTAGTTATGATCAACTTAGAGCTTGCCAAATATATAAGATGGCTCAAGTTTCCATGCTGCATTAGCTTGACGAGATAAATTTGAGAGTAGTAGGAAATTAATCAAAATAACATAACAGGGTTGATAACGAGAAAGAATGAAGATTTAAAATATGTTTTAAAGAGTTATTGAAGAGTCATATATGAAGAAACACTGGAATTTAAAACCCAAATGAAGGTGCCAGTTTGAAGTCTGACCATCTCTTTTACTATTCGATTGTCTGAAGTTTGATAAAAAAACGAATTCTATATTCTGTGATTGTTGTGCAGCCATTATATTTAATGTATGAATCCATCCATTCATCCATCATTAAACTGAGGAAAGAGTTCAAATACATGACTAAAATATAAAATGTCTACCTGCATATAACTTTGAAAAGTTATTATCAAATGACAGAAAAAATCAATATAAAGTTACGTACAAATCAATTAATGTTTGTTCAAGTATTATTTATTTACTGAACTTTCTAAATTTACCATCTCATTATACATTCAGAAAATCTAAACTGGTAAAATGTTGTTGAATTTCAATAGTTTTACCACTAAGAAAATTGAATTTGTATAAAAATGAAACAACTAATCCAGATAGACTAGAAAAACTTTAAAAAAAACATCTTTTTTCATTAAACAGACGAATAGATATGTATTAACGATCACTAAGCAACTGCACTTTCATGTGAGGAAACAGTTAGTTTTATTTTAGGGGCATTTATGACGATTGTAGAATTCCCATTCCTCAACTCATTAATTGATCTTAGCTAGATTTCTAATAAACGTCTGGAAGCACAGGATGACCGTCTCATCCTAGCATAAAACTCATCAGCGATGCGCATACACAACCCTGCAACCAAAACTGTAACCCAGGACCTTTGGTCTTGCGTGCAAACGCTAAACCTCTATGTCACTAAACCGACATCCAATGTAAACCTATAAGGCAGTTTTTATCATTATAATGAATGAGTACGTTCATTATAGAACATCAACATTGATTAAAGAAAATGGGACTATATAAAATTACATGGACCAATAATCTATTAAACATTTACTCCTTGTACTATTCTAAATATATTTTAAATTAAAAAAATTATGTGTAACTGTAACGTTCTTTCTACTTAAAGATTACAAAGAAAAGAGTTTACCTTCTTAATTCCAAACGTTTTACCATGCAAACTAGTTAGTTTTAAACGGTTATCTACTGGGGTTTAAAAAGCATTTTAACTATCATTCATATGTTTTTAGTATCTATATTAGCAGTGCTAGTAGTAGTACATGGGTAGAAGAATATGACTACTCATAATTGGAACAAATGGTGGCATTGCATATTGTAAAGGGCATTTTATGGTGTACGCCACTGCAGAAATTCACCTATTATCAAACGAATTTGAAATTCTTGATAAATGGTACAAATTGTGGAGCTTAATTTTCTTTATATTAGTGTGGGGTGCTTCATCTATCGGCCGATTCAATGTATATAAACTGATAAATATGTGAATTTAAGTAAGTGCAAAGTAGTTTGATTATCGCTTGTTAGTTAGGCGCTTAATATACACGTTTCACTATCATCATGTTGAGTTAAGTGAAATTTCCAAGTCTTCTGAAAATTTCTTATTTACAGCAGATACTTTTTACAAAATGTGAACAAATTGAATAATGAGTGGACTACATGCAAAAAGACAAAATAATTACTTTCATTAATTTTGGTCAGACGATTCTTCGATAGATCCAGAGTTTTCAATTGCGTAAGATTTCCAATACAATCTGGAATCGGTCCTTGCAAATGATTACTTTTCACTACTAATGTCTGTAAAAGCTTAATAAAAAAATATATTTTGCGGTTAAAATGATACAGGTTATGATTAATTTTATAATTTGGACAATTACTACAGCCAAAACATCAAAAATGTGAGTACTGTTTGATGAAATATTTATGGAACTTTTGTCTACATGACAAATATGAATAAAAGTGAAAGACATAAAGGTCATAATAATAAAAACTTGATAATAACCATGAAAAATTGCTTAAGAACAATAATAACTGATTATGGTTTAAAATTACAAAACATTTATTCGAAAATCAAAACATTGTGATAATATAAAAGACCTTAAACATACGAATGTATAGCTTAAGTAAATTATTTCGTCGAAAAGAAAAGTTTCTTCGCCGAATTCCCTTTATTTTTATTCTATGACACAACGGGTTATTTTGACTATCTGAAGAGTTGCAGTGACACCTAAACCTTCTCCGAAAGTAACTAAATCCTTAAAAAGAACATAGAACCTATAGTTTTGGCATGCAAAAACATGCTCATAAACCAAAAAAGCTTATAATTCAGTTATACTTGTGAGCAAAAATGAACTTCAATAACAATCAATGATTTGCCAAGGTGTTTTAATTCTAATCATAAATAATGTCAAAAACAAAAATCTACTGATAGACTTTGAATAAGCAGTGTCTAATACTAACGCTTAAAATTTTAATCACAGATGTCATAATTCAGAGCGGTACATTGGTGGTTGAAACAAAGCAAAGGAGTGCATGAGATATAACAGTGCCTTTTTCAACCACTTTTCAAAATTGTACTACATATGACTTGATCAAAGTATAATATGACTCAAATATGCACATAACAAACCCATAATAGCCGTAACATGATTTTAAATTTTCTTCGTTAGATACCAACAGGAAGAAAGTATTAGTAGCCATCACACAGAGAAACTATGTCCAAGATACATGATACTAACTTTTATTCTAGCTGTCACTCACGTTTGCCATCTTTCATAATTATTAAATAATAGCACTGTACCATAAAATCATCTAACCAAACTTCCGCTAACCTGGTAATTTTAAGCACATTTTTATTGTTTCGAAACTCTGAAGTACATCTAGTGCAGCAACAGAAACTAAATTCGTTGTATTGCCAAACTCATTCAAGAAATACTATTGTGCTATGAAGATATGTTTGCAACGTAAAAGTAAAAACATCTCTCAGAACGTATACAGTAGGTTTTTTAAAGAAAAATCTTAAGGTATCAACCCATTATCTCTCTTGAAGATTATGGACTACCTGTTGATTTACTCTCCACTGACATCAAGTCCCTGGAAAAGTTCCACATACCCGGCTGTTACCAAAGTGAAACAGTATCAAAGTGGGAGATTATATCTGTGGATAAATAACTTTTCAGTTGGACCCAAATAATGAGCATTAACTGTCTAGCTTAAAAACGGTACCCGATGAAGTAATCCAGGATGCAGTATCAAAACTAACATCAATTCCCTCGTAAGTCAATGATCTTTCTGGTTTTTCGTCATTTTCAGTCTTGTGACTAAAGACTCTTAATAAATGTATCAAGATATGATGAAAGACATGAAACAAAAAGAGTGATGTGGAGGTTTTAAAAGGTCTGCAGAAGTCGAAATATTGTTATGAAACCCAGCAACTGATATTGAATGGATCTAGGTGAATTATGGTGCATATTAGTCATTAACACATAATTAAACTGCAAAAAATGTTAAGTCACTTGTTTTCTATACACATAGTCATTCAGAGGTTAGTATCCATCGAAATTTGAAAACCCTTTTACGTGTTTAGTTACTCTCAAATGTTTCAGGATTCTATAATTAATAAGTAGAGATTTCAACAATTCTTTAAATCATATACTCTATGAGTTCAACTGGAACTCGTGTATTGCACACAAGCAGTTAACTTGCCAGAAAAGGGTAGTAAGAAATTAAAAAAGGTACGAAAATCTCAGACAAGTTGGATACATGGATCTAAAGAATAGTATATGATGACAGATCCGCTGAACTAAACCTCATCCTCTTATGAGACACAACGATCAGAGGACATTGCAGTCTACTAAACGTCGATTTCGCGTTAAAAATCCCCTCATTTTTTACCTTCTAAAACAGAGGATTTACAAGGGCACTCCAAAATCGTTCGAAAGGCCAAAACGAATAACCCGTTAGTTACCTATAGAACTTAACACATGTTTATAACTCCATCTTCATGAACGCTGAACGGATAATTGTATTAAATGAGAGAACTTAATTCTCCGTAATTACCACTAGTCCTACAGACTTCTGTACTTCCTAGACTGAAAATGAAGCTCAACTGTCTGTCAAAATGTACTACGTTATTATTTGAAATAAACGCTAGGTTTAGAAAGAGTTGGTGCGGAAGACAAAAGAGAAAATCCAAGAAAAGTATAATATATGATAAGTGAAAATAACAAGACTAGACCTACACATAAATTACCAATAGCAGATATATCTGTTAATTTATTGTAAGTCAGGTAAAGTTGTTTCATTAAAGTGAATTTTGTTATAACAACAGGAATGCAACCTTCAAGTCTGTTGTGCCTGATATCAAGATGAGTTAGTTTCGAACAATAACCAAGCTCATCCGGTAGAAATGTGAGGGAGTTTTCCTGGAGCCATAACTGTGAAAGAAAGTAAACTAAATTACGGCATACTCTCTGTAGATTTTTCAGAAATCCGATCTGCAAGGGAAGACATGTTAACTTATTATCATACAAAAAAAGCTCTATTAAATGACTAAGACTGCCAATGTCCGGAGAAACGCTGTCAAGCCCCAAAGAGGACAAGTCCAGTATCAATCTACTTTTCGAATCAGAAATCAGCTTACTGCCATCCTGGAATACTTTTAATAACTTTTCAATCGAAAACTAACGAAATGATTAGATTTCCTTGATTTAGTTAAGCTGATAATTTTTCCATTGTCATCTTGATAAAAGACCCCTTTCTTTGTGGCTAATGAAGCAGGAGATCCAGGTATCCCGGGACTTTGTGATGAGCATATTCCTGAGTTGAGAACAGGATTAGAGCCAGTACCTGTAACATAATATCGCGCTTTCAATAAGGACTACTTCGGATATACGTCTTCAAAGATTTGTATTGCTTACTGAAAAATTCTTTATTGACTGGCTTTGCCTTGTCCCGTTCAGTTGAAGTGTATGAACGCTGCCTCTAACCAATGGAAAAAAGTTGAGAAATATCTTACCGGCATAATACAATCGGTTTACCGCGTTCAAGTCAACCTTGAAAACAAAACTTTTACTAGCATAGATACAAAATCCAGTACTTCCTCTATTGATCATGAGGTAGATGGATAAAAGTAGATGAACTTCGTTGATTGAAAAAAGACGTTTATTCCTGTCAGATGTTGAGGCAGTGATGCTGGTCTTTAGTTATAGCGATAGGCCTTGTGACATTTGTTAATCCTTGTGTTTAATAATATTGTTGAGACATCTGGATCAGGTTTTGTAAGCTTCAGTAATTTCGCATGTGGTTATGGTCATCTCAGAGGCTATTAAGCTATGGGCTGACAGAGAGACCTGTAGATACAGAGTCCAACTCCTTATGATGCAGTAAATATGAACTTCCGAGGATTTTCAAAGCAAATGCTTAGTACCCACCTGTTTGTAATGATTGTCCAGTTAAGATTAGTTCTTAATGTGGTCTATGAATGTCCAAAAACCCCCACTGTCGACTTCTATAGTAATAACTATAGTACTGAAAGTACGGATTGGGTACACCAGAGCTTCAGGCGTAGTGTCACGGACTCGGAATTCTGAAAACTGAACGACAAATGGAGTCTCGGTAAATTTTTGGTCGCGAACTTCATCTTCATAAGAGGATTTTATACCGTGTTAGTCTGTCGGTGCACAGACATAACGCTACTGCCTTCATTTGAATGATCATTTAAGCATAATGCTCGGGGTAATTAAAACTTCGTAGCGAGTTTCTGACAAAAAAGAAAAACAGGGGAGCATCAAGGCGCTTGGATATGAACGCTAAGCAATGCTTAACATTTTATAGTGCAACAGACAGAGGCATGATAAATTATTAGACCAAATTCATATAACCTCTTGTTGCTAGAGTAAAATGTCGTCAGAGGCTTTAGAAGAGATAATAAAGTAATAAAGAACAATCACGTGTGATATTTATCAAGAAGGAATAAGTTCAAATAAAGGTGAAGGAATTCAAGGTTGGAATTAGGAAGGCTGTTTATTGGAACGGAAAGTGCATAAAGAGAAAAGTTTTCAGAATCTTAAAACTATCTTCTATTGCCTGATTACTTTAGTTTGTTTTTTTTCTTTTTGATCCAATGCGAACCACACAATCCTAGTGTTAAAGTTCGAGTTAATATGTTACAGGTTGTCTTCGTAGAATAGAATAAAATTAGAAACATGAGTCGGAATGGTGAGTGTAGGAGAACAACCACAATATCACAGAATGTTTTACTCGTTCCCAACCATAAAGAGCACGATACAAACAAAATTTTCCGCCCCACAGACATAAGTGGGTTGAAGTCATCGCCATCATAATCAATGTTTGCTGGTCAGTAAATCCAACCCCTCGTTTTGTGATGTTAGGCTCATTTAAGCTTATTTTTGGATAGATATCATTCCACACATAATGCTCTGTGCTTCACATCCTGTTGGAAAACACTATTTCTATAAATACCATTTTACAAGCTTATCAGGCATCAGTGCAATGCTTTATTTGACTATAGTATAAATTATAGGTTGCCGATCGAGTATAGGCACTAAGAAGGGTGTATAGTAGGCTAGTTGTTCATCAAAATAGGCGAAGTATAGAAATATGTGGGTTACGGATAAGGTAACGAGTGGAGAAATAATATTAATGGCAAGTCAACATGGTGTACTGAAGAGTTATAAGCTGATAAACAATAAACAAGAGAAACTCATAATAATTTGGTGTTCATGTTATTTTGTTCTATAATAACCGGTTGATGGGTAACAGGTTCCACAGGTGCAAGACTACTGGCAGTAGGCAGTCGATTGTGTGGTTCTTTTGAATTTTCAGGGTAGTAGTGAGTGTATCTTGGCGACCTATTTTAGTTGAGCAGTATCGATAGGTTCAGTGAATTACCTGTCTATTTCGAGTGACAAATTAGGAAGTATAAAGTATCTAATACAAGTAGGGAAAAAATGAAAACTGAACTTATAGTCTAATTTGGTCTATACATGTTGAGAGTCTATAACGTTTGAGTAGGACTCAGGTGTGTGTAGAATTTATGGTCTACTATGATATTAGTACTGCTCTAATAATAGACCTAATCCTAAATTTGTAGATTTGTCATGATATGACTGCCTAATCCATAAGATCTTACGTGGAAGTCACACCATCGACTACACCAACTCACTGTATCGTATCAATTACCAATACATGATGTAGAACAAGGTTAGGCTAGAGAAAGAACAATATATTTAATATGAAAAGAAGATATAAGGTAACATTCAGCAGAGACCATGCCTGCATGGCCGAGCCATGCCGTTCGATCAACTCTAGTCTATTCAATTCATTAGTCGCGCCTTCTCCATCGTTAGGTATTTCTTCGCGTTAAATATTGAATATCTATTTTCTGAGTAATCTCGTATTCAGCTTTGAGGATTGTGTGGTTATAGTCCAATGCCACTACACTACTCTCCCACCAGAATCAACGTGGTGTTGGTTCGATACCAAATTGGATGGGACTGTAGTGTCCCGAAGGTTACCAAGACTAGTAATAATCCTCCGGGTGATGACAAGCTGAAAGACAAATCAAAAAGAAGACGGCAGCATCTGGTCGGGAAATACATGTAATAATTTTAAAATATCTGCCTTCATGCTTAACACGCTTACAATGAAAATTTGAGTGATTATTTGAGCTATAACAAAATGGGATTACAATAATAATAATAGTAATAATAAAACGATGCGTGTGTAATAGCCGTTGGTTGATAACTTAACGTATAGGTAGTAAGTATTTTGTGTTTAGAAATATTAAAGTTATAAATATTGTAGAAATGTTAATATTAGTACTACTTTTAGTCTAACTTATGAAATCGAATAACGATTATGCCGGTAAGTTGTCCATATGAATCGATTTCCAATTGCATCTGTATTAGTAGGCTAACTGAAGGAACAAAAGTATTACCGCGGAGAAGAATTCCAACTAGTGTTCCAGTTAGTTTGATACGGTTTTAGTTACGGGGAGATTTTCTCAACCCCATGTTTACCTGACCGTGATAGAATTTAGTAATACTACTAATACACATGAATGGTTATCAAAACAAAATTTAAATACGTGAGTGATAATTATGTGAATTTTGGACAGATAGCTAGAAACAAATCGTTAAACATGAGTGTATTCTTAAGAGACATGCTCTAGACTCAATGTTCTGATCTGCGGCAGACTATTTATTTATATCTATACTTGCCGGCTGATTGGGTATACAAGTTAGTTGAAAGTATGCAGTTTATCATAAGGCGGAACACGATTTAATTGAGATATAGTGGTTATACGTTATTGAAATTAGTTAAACCTATGTGTCATATTACTAAGTGATGTGGTGCTGCAAGGTGTATTTGGCTAAATAATTTTTTACAAAATGATTAATAGAGAGTGATGCTCATGTGATTATCAGGGAGAACATAAGTTGTAACCAAGGGGAGTGCACTCCCAACTCATGCCTATGATAATAGCTTGAACCTTAGTCAGTGTTGGGGTAAATTCGACATTGATGTTTTCAGTTTGCAGGATATTTGCTCGACTGCTTATACTGATTATTTGCATGCATGATTGTGTCGCTAAAGCATCAATTAGACTGACAAGGTTTTGAGATATTTACTGAATGAGCAACTGATAGAGAAACATACTGTAATCATCTGTAGTGAATGAAGAAAAACAACACTAGTGATAATTATAAGTCAATTTGCTGACCGATTTTGTTAATAGTTTCATTAATTTTATCAATCATATTACGTGATTGTCAAGTCATGACAATGCTTTATGAAGATATCCTGAAACTATTGTTTAAATAGTTATAGTGTTGATTGAAGATTGGCCAGTGGAAAAATAGGCATTGTTGTTTTAGGTGGTTCAAAATTATCAGAAATTTATAACGTTAAAGAATCCGAGACGCCTAATTTAATTATAAATTTCAATTCAGAAATATTTGTTTAATGTTAATTCTAGTAGGCTACGGAGTTTTGATTTTAAAAGTTTGTTCAACCAAAAACTACCTGAGGATTTAGTAATTTTACTAGTGCAGTTGATAGTACCTAAATTTTTAATCTTATTATCTAAATTATGTTTGCATTTTAGACTGCTAATATGATAAACCAATCCATAAATCCAAATACGATTAGCAACAACGACTATGATGGGTTTATTAATAAATGTTAGAGGCGATCCAGATGATTTCTAAATTTAGAAGACATGGAGATATAGTGCAACGCATGTACGGGCCAGGGTAACATGCAGGTTGTTGACGTATATGACGATTTAAAAATAATGAACATGACCAGAAAATAATTTTTAAGCTAAGACTGCTTATAAAACTCCAGGCAGGAATATGATACGTTATAAACATTCCATAAGAAGTTACTGCATTTAGCCTAGGGACACTTACAAATTTATGGCAAAAGCAACTGGAAAACATATACATGTTAAGTACAAAAAATCATTAAGTAAAATAGTTGAACTCGCCTGGATTATTTTTAAAAATTAGATTATTAAGTGGACGACATATATAACGCCATTCGTGGAGTAGAAATGATCCAAAAGTATCCAGAATAAAACATGCAGTATGGCAATTAATTCCAGTGTGTTTGATGCTGTTGGCGTTTTTGCCACTCGCTCGGATGAGAACGATCGAATGAATCCAGATAATTGTGTGTGCCATTGAATGAGCCATCTAAAATGAACTTATGATTGCAGAAAACTTATAGCTGGAACTCACCGTATTTTTTGGAGAAGCGTCATCCTTGTTGTTTGGCAATGGAACTCGAGAATATGAAATTAGGCAGGCAGTGGTCGGAAGAAAAGGTATTACAGGATAGTGCAGTTTAGAACAGGATGAGGTGTTAAGTGAAGGAACACTGAGAATTAGATCCAGTTAACTATTTAGTCCTTGATCGCATTGTTAGTCAATGTATATTTACGCTATTTACAGGTCATATTTGCTAGAGCTTGATGTTTAAACAAGTCTATGACGCTGAAGCATGTAAATGCTATTAAAGCTTGTTAACGAACCATCAAAGCTAATTAGTTGATATAGATGATC